AGAAGGCCCGGTTTCTAGTTCTTTCCTTCCGGGCCTCCCTCGGCGTCAGGCTCCTCAGCCTCACCTCCTGGGTCACGCGGGTGACACGGGTAGAACTACTTGGGAGTAAGTGTTCCGCCAAGTATTGAGGTCCTAAACCATTTAGGGCTTTATATGTAAGCATTAACACTTTGAAGTCAATGCGGAAACGGATGGGCAGCCAGTGCAGCATGGCCAGAGTAGAAGAGATATGCTGGTATTTTCTCACTCCTGTAAGGAGTCTGGCCACCGCATTCTGCACCACTTGAAGTTTCCGCATCAGCTTCAAAGGAAGCCCCACGTAGAGCGTGTTACAGTAGTCTAATCTAGAAATTACGAATACATGTACTAAGGTAGTGAGTGCCCCCATGTCTAGGTAAGGTCGCAGCCGGGCAATCCACCAAAGGTGGAAAAAGGCAGTGCGGGCTACCAACGCCACCTGCGTTTCCATGGTGAGCATCGGGTCCAGGTGTACCCCCAGGCTGCGGACCCCACTCTTTGCGGCTAGGGCCACCCCCCCAAACATGAGGGAGTTTCCCAAGCCACCATCCACAGGGCCACCCACCCTCAGAACTTCTGTCTTGTCCGGGTTCAGCCTCAGCCTGTTCTCCTGCATCCATTGCTGTACGGCCCCCAGGCAGTGCTGGAGGGACAGGACGACATCACTTGCAGTTGGTGAAAAGGATATATAGAGCTGGGTGTCATCAGCATATTGATGACACGATGCTCCACACCCCCTGATGACTCCACCCAGCGGCCTCATATAGATGTTAAACAGCATTGGGGAGATGATCGACCCCTGTGGAACCCCACAATTGAGATTCCACGAGGCCGAAATACCCTCTCCAAGCTGCACTCTCTGGGGACGGTCCTCCAAGAAGGAACGGAACCAGGCCAGAGCCAAGCCACCGATACCCAATTCAGAGAGCCTCCCCAGGAGGATACCGTGGTCGACGGTATCGAAGGCCGGCGAGATGTCGAGGAGGACCAACAAAGAAATTTTAGCGCTGTCGGCCTCCCTCAACCAGTCATCGTATTCTATCACTCTGTGCAGCACACCACATTGCTGCTACACAGTTTGTTTGTTTTTTGGATTATTTACTTATTTTATTTATTTAAAATATTTTTACTCCACCTTTCTCCTTAAGAAGGCTCCAAGGCGGTTTACATCACTGCAAGGCAATATTTAAAGCTGAAAACAATGAGTATACAATAGTGGCTTACATCATTAAAAATAATATTTAAAGCTAATATCAATGAGTTGAAAGAGGCAGCTTACATCATTAAAAGACAATATTAAAGCTGAAAGAATAAGTATACAAATATTAAAAAGGAACAAATTAAATACCACTTTAAGAGACAGTAAACACCAGTAGTAATAAAGGACCATTCAAAGTAGTAAATTCAGTAACAATCCATCTAAAAATCACATTCAGGTAGCCAGTCACTGAGGGAAGGCTAGCCTGAAGAGAAAGCTTGCCTGCTTGCAGAAGGATAACAAAGATGGGACCAGTCTGGCCTCCTGTGGGAGGGAGTTCCAAAGTCTGGGAGCAGCAACAGAGAAGGCTCTCTCTTGTGTCCCTATCAGATGCAGCTGTGAAGGTGGTGGGACTGAGAGAAAGGCCTCTCCTGATTATCTTAACACCCAAGCCGGCTCATATTACACCTCTCATATTACACCACAGCAGGGCTTGTGCCAGCTGTGGAATTGGTTTGGAAAGTTTATTCTAAAGAAATACATTTTCCGAACATTACCATAGACAGGGATTTCCCATTACCAATCTCTACCAGTTTTTACAGTGTGGAAGAGTGGAGAAGTACATGAATAGTACAGATTCTAAATTATAATTCACTAGGTGTTTCCAATAGTTCCAGTGATTTTTTTTAAGGTACAGCAATGAGATGTCAAGAAAATAAAGCATAAAGTCAACTAGTGCCTATGTAACAGATAACTTTATAGTATTTATAAACTCATGTAGTGGAAGTGGATAGACAATACTGTATTCCCTCCCCTGTCTTGATGTTGAGAAGAGTGAAGAAGAAGGGACTCCACCCTTTTCCTTTCCTTTTCTGCTCAGTGTTGAATGAAGTGAAACATTGTGCCTACACGATGGCTTTCGAGATTACTGTACAGTTAAGTTTCTTCAGCCTGGAAAGTAGCATTTTGGGGAGGGTGAGGCTGAATTTTTGTTGCATCCTCGTTAAATTCAGTGTGATTTGTTTCCAGATAAAATATTGGACCATTGATCATCCTAGAGTTATGTCATAACCCAAAAATTTGTTTTCAGATAAAATATTGGACCATTAATCATCCTAGAGTTATGTCATAACCCAAAATGGCTTAAACTTGGGGCTGGAACCCAGTGCATTCTGATCTAGATAGTGGAGTTGGGCTAGTTAGAAAAAATGCTATGGGCTATCATACCACTTGATTTCCTTGTTAGTCCTGTTTTGGATAATTTAATTTCCCATATTTAATTTAAATTCATTCATTCATTCATTCATTCATTCATTCATTCTTTCTTTCTTTCTTTCTTTCTTTCTTTCTTTCTTTCTTTCTTTCTTTCTTTCTTTCTTTCTTTCTTTCTTTCTTAGCTGAGAACAACATTCAGAAGGCTTTTCGAGACCATGGCTTCATTCTGAAACAAGGATATTTGGAGAAGAGATCCAGAGGTAAAAATCCATCAAGCCAATCTTCATAGCAACAGCTGTTATGGTATGATCACATGGGGAAATAGATTGCATTTTGGACCACTTGTGGAGAAGTCCAGTGCGATCTATTTCCTGATGATCAGAAAATATATGGGGAATTGCAGCCCAGCCCTGATCCATGTTCATGCTAGGTGTTCCAGCTATAGGGCTGTTACTTTTGGTAGCCAGAGTGTAAAGGTTCCCCAACAGAAGGAAAGGTTGCTTTAAGAGAGATCACTCCCTGCAAAATGACCCTTTCTGTGGGATCAGACATGTGCCATCTGATTGCACCCTTTTAATCAGTTGTTTGTTTTATTGCTTATAGTAGCAGGAGTAGATTGGTTGGTTCTTATATCTTGTCTTTCCTCCAAAGAAATCAAGATAGTGTTCATTGTCCTCCCCTCCATTTTTAATTTTCACAACATCCCTATGAGGTAAGTTAAGCTGAGAGATAGTGATTGTTCAAGGGTCACTATCAATTCATGGTCTTTATCCTGAAAAGAAAAAGCCAGCAGATCAGTGAGGGGGGAGATAGCAGATTTATGTTATTGCAATGCTACCTTAGCATGGCGAGATAGCCTAGTGAGAATTTCAGTTGCCATGAGAGTTCTCATTTCTATTATGAGAGTGAGACACCAAGCAACTTTTCCCCCCATCATGCTTTGTGGTATCTATGCAAAATGGTTCTAATAGATTTTCCTTTTCTGAAATTAATAATGCACACTCAGGAAACAAAAATAGGTAGGTTAATTGCTTGAAAAACATGTCCACATTCTAATGCTTCTACTGTACTTTTAAAAAATGTGTACACTATTTTTCCTGGAACTTCTAAGTGCTCAATGAAATGAGGAATATGTGAAAATCATGAGAAAAGGAGACCTGAATGTTCCTCAGAAGCCATTTACACACTTTTAAGGGTGCAAATGTATTGGCATGCCTAAAGCAGACACAAAGTTGATAGCTGCATTTTGGATTGGGGAATGCAAATTTCCTCATGAGAACCAGTTTACATTCACTACCTAGATAGCTTACACTGAACAGGCAAAACGGATATGCCCCTTCGATTTTCTGCACAATGCTTTGCACAGTGTTGGCATAAACAGAAGGCTGTAGAGCAGGAACTGCAGAAATAGTAGTCGTAATGGTGGTAGTAGTTATTAACAGCTTCATGGACAGTGATGATAGCAAGAACCTTTGATTGTTATGGGTTACATGTCCTAGGAGTTCTTTTCGAGATACAGACCTGTTGCTTGTTTCCTAGCTGTCACCCTATGGCCTTATTCCACCCTCTTCCTTCCTTCTTTACAGACCCTAAAATCTTTGGCTCTGAATGGCAGAAGCGGTGGTGTGTCCTTGACAACAAGGCCTTTTACTACTTTGCAAATGAAAAAAGTAAGTGGTGCCCCTGGAATACCCAAGTACCCGCATCCCTTCATATGTTCCCATCACTCCATTGCATTGAGGAGGAAGGGGGGGGGTCTACTGAAGAAAAAAAGGCTAAGAGTTTTTGTGATTTCATTAGTCTCCAGTGCATCACTTTTGAAGGGAAGCAGCCCAAAAGCAGTCAGGCTTTGTTACGTCAAATCCAGTGCAACTCTGTAGCTTCTTTGTTCTCTAGTATTCTGTCCCATACTTGCTATAGAATATTGCTGTTGCTGTTGTTTACTTATTTGCTTACTTGCCTGCTTATTTCTTATGCTTACATTCCACCTTTTCTCCAGTGAGCTCAAGGTCATGTGCATGGCTCTTTTCCTCCCCACTTTATCCTCACAAGGTTTGAGGTAAAGCTGAAAATGCATGACCAGCTGAGGGTCTCCAATGTCCTGGCCCAGCACTATCCACCCAGTCACACTGGCTATCCATGCCACCCCTTTTTTATCCCAAAGAACTGAGAAGAGATACAAGATGTATGACTAGATGGTCTGGCTGTTTGGGTCTCGATCAGTCTACCTCATGCTAAATAGGATTGCTTTGAGGTTCAGTAGATCATTTGGGGAAATCTTTGCATCTACATGCAAGGAACAACCACACTGCACCTCAAGCAACTCTGCTTAACATGATTTAGACCAGTGGTTCCCAGCTTTGAGTAACCCAAGTGTTCTTGGACTGCAGCGCCCAGAAGCCCTGGTCAGCACAGCTGGTGGTGAAGGCTTCTGGAAATTGCAATCCAAGAATATCTGGGTTACCCAAGGTTGGGAACCACTGATGTAGACTGATCTTCTTTCCCTTAAAGTGAAAGGGGGGAAAATCCCCCTCTTGTCCTCTTCTGTGCTTTGCTTAAGCCGCTTAATGATCTTGAGAAATGGACAGCTTGCTTCCTGCTCCCCCACAGAGGGACAGGGAGATAAAGATTTCCATTTCTTTTCAATTATTGCTAACTGAGCTTATCAGCAATGCATTCAAAGCAATTGCTGATACATTAATAACAATTAAAAAGAAAACGTTCTCTCTCTTCCCCTCCACAGGTAAGCATGAAGGAACTTTTCCATTTCTAAAAATCATTAAACAGTTTAAGCAAAGCAACAATTTAAACCATGTGCTTTGGCTCAATCCCACTGATTGCACATGCTGGAACCAAACCAAAGTGGAGCAATCCTGCCCATACAAAACAAAACAAAACAAAAATCAGTAGCTTTTTGAAAGGGATCTTTAAAAGGTGCAGATAGACATCAATCAGGGGTAATTTGCTATGACATGTATATTGAGTGGTACACCAGGAAAAGAAACAAACAAGCCCATCCCTAACCTGGACCAAACTGGAAAAAATGCCTAGTTGTACCCTTAGTCATCATAACAACATCACAGAATGGATTAGAGTAGAATAATTACTTACTGAAGCATAATGCATAGAGCTTCACACTCAGTCAGAGATTTGACCAGGATTTCTCTCATTCACATGCAGCATTAGAAGTATCACATTCCATTAGTTCTTCTAGCTAGGTGAAAAATTGCCTACCTGGCAATGGGGTACTTTTCCATTTAGATACAGCCTCAGAAAGGAAGAACACAGTGTGGTTGTACTCAAACACCCTTGTCAGTAAAGAATGAGGGAAACAAGAAATACAGACACAAAGCCCTATATAAATAAAGTGTTACCCATATTTTCCTCCTATTAGTTGTCAGATGGGCTTTAACCCTTCCCTAAGTGACCATATATAATATATGTGTCAGCATGTATAAATATTTTTCAGTTATGCTCCATCAGATGCATATAAACAGGAAGCTAATACTTCCAGCTGAATTTGGCATGCCTAGATAGATGGCCTATGTTTATACTGTGACTCCCATCCAGAGAGATTGAATGCTGAGTAGGTTGAAAAAAAAATACAGGAGAAAACAGCGGACAAAGCAGACAACAGCATTTGGAGTTTCAGGGCTGGTAGCGACAAGATTTCTCCTGCTGCAATTCAAGAGATGATGGATGTTGAGGTTAGATAGGTTATAAGTTGTTCTTACAGATACATGTGTATGTAGAGACCTATACAGGTGTTTGCCTACTGACACGTAGGCCTAAAGTAGAGATGTGGAGATGTGCACATACATAAGACCTGATCCTAATAACATCACAGGAAGAATGAAAAATATTTGCAAAATTCCTTGTTTTTGTTGGCATCATGAGAGACATCGACAAAAAATGTGCAAGCCCCACCAGATTCCTTGTCTCCAGTGGAAGAACAAAACAATGAGTACCTGTTTCATCTCAAAGCTTCAGTACAAAATTCCTCTACCAAACCCATGTTTTCCCCTTCATAGTTCGGAGTGCACACACAGATAGAACAGTGTGTACAAGGACTGGCTGATGGATCAAAAAGATAGAAACAACCAATCTGATGATTCTAAATTGTAATAGTCTAAGTAGCAAGGCAACATCTATTGTAGTTTTCTGCAATTTGTATTATTTATGCAAAAATTGTCCTGGCAAATACAAAAACTCCAGTCAAAATGTTTCACTGTCTTGACAGGCAAGCAGGAGAATTCTACTGTTTCATAGGAAAAGAACAGCAGCAAGCATTTAAATCACTGTATCACAAACCTTCATATACTGAGAACAGTCTAAAGATAAAGCTGTAACTGTGTTCGGTGGAATGCAACTACAGATCTCCCATGTTTGAGAACCCTGATAAGGCATGTTTCCTGACTGTGGGTGTTCTTTAACTGCATTATTTATTTATTTTTTTATTCGACTTGTATTTTTAGTTCTCTTCAGAACTTTGCCCTCAATATGTGAAATTTTGTGGCCTAGTTTGGCGACACAGGTCATGTGTGTTCTCACATTCCTATCATTACTTTAGCCCTACACTCTAATGGACAAACATCTGGATAGGGCTTGTCAGAGACAAGAGCCTGGGTGATAACTTGTGTCACAGAGGTAAAAAGCAGGGTTAACCTCCATCTCACTAATTCTTCAAAAACAACTTTTTATTTTCTCCTTTATTGGTATATTACTTATGTTTTGTTGGACGTGGTGGGGCTGCAGATTAAAGCACAGAATCCTCTGTGCTGCAAGGTCAGAAGACCAGCAGTCATAAGTTCGTATCCATGTGATGGAGCGAGCTCCCGTCGCTTGTCCCAGCTCCCGCCAACCTAGCAGTTCGAAAGCATGTAAAAATGCAAGTAGATAAATAGGTACCACCTTGGTGGGAAGGTAACGGCGTTCCGTGTCTAGTCACACTGCCTACATAACCACGGAAACTGTCTATGGATAAATGCTGGCGCTCTAGCTTGGAAACGGGGATGAGCACCACGCCCTAGAGTCAGACACAACTAGACTAAATGTCAAGGGGAACCTTTACTTTACCTTTCTTACGTTTTATGTTGTATGTTTAATGTAGCAACTCCTGACCGACGAATATGATCTCGTTTTTTTTATTGGGTAACCTCCCTGATATAGAGGGAATGCTGTAGACATAGTATATCTTGACTTGAGGAAAGCTTTTGATGAAGTGCCCCGTGACATTCTGATTAGCAAGCTAAGTAGATATGGTCTGGATTACGTTTATGTTGTGTGTTTAATGTAGTAACTCCTGACCGACGAATATGATCTCGTTTTTTGATTGGGTAACCTCCCTGATAGAGAGGGAATGCTGTAGACAGAGTATATCTTGACTTTAGGAAAGCTTTTGATGAAGTGCCCCATGACATTCTGATTAGCGAAAGCTTTTGATGAAGTGCCCCGTGACATTCTGATTAGCAAGCTAAGTAGATATGGTCTGGATGGAACAACTGTCAGGTGGATACACAGTTGGCTACAGAATTGTACTTAGGAGGTGATGCTTAATGGCTTCTTCTCAAACTGGGAGGAGGTAACAAGTGGAGTACCCCAAGGCTCAGTTCTGGGCCAAGTGCTGTTCAACATTTTATTACTGACCTGGATCAGGGGGTGCAAGGAGTGCTAATAACATTTGCAGACGACACAAAATTGGGTGGAATATCTAATACCCTGGAAGACAGAAACAAAATTCATGATGATCTAGATAGGCTTCAGCACGAGGCTGAAAACAACAGAATGAAATTCAACAGAGATAAATGCAAAGTACTGTACCTAGGAAAACGAAACCAAACACACAGTTACAAGATGGGGGATACCTGGCTCAGCAATAGTACAAGCCAGAAAGATCTTGGAATCATCATAGATAATAAATTGAGTATGAGCCAGCAGTGTGATGAAGCTACAAAAAAGGCAAATACTACTTTGGACTGAATTAATAGAAATATAGTCTCCAAATCCCTCGAGGTACTCCTTCTCCTCTATTCGGCATTGGTTAGGTCTCATCTTGAGTATTTTGTCCAGTTCTGGACACCACACTTCAAGTAGGCTACTGACAAACTGGAACATGTTCAGAGAAGGGGGACAAGGATGATCAGGGGGCTGGAAACCAAGTCTTTCCTATGAGGAAAGACTGAGAGATATAAATCAAACAAACAAACAAATAATGATAATATGAGAGAACTGGGCATGTTTAGTCTTGGGAAAGGAAGCTTGAGGGGGGAGATATCATAGCACTTTTCAAATACTTGAAATGCTGTCATATAGATGAGGGGAAGGATCTGTTCTTGATCATCCCAGAGTGCAAGACACTCAACAATGGGCTGAAGCTACAGGAAGCTAGATTTTGGTTGAATATCAGGAAAACCTTCCTTTTAGAGCTGTATGGCAATGGAACCAATTACCTCGAGAGTTTGGTGAGTGTTCCAACACTGGAGGCATTCAAGAGAAATTTAGACAACCACCTGGCAAATATCCTTTGATTGAGCAAGGGGTTGGACATGATGGCCTTATAGGTCCCTTCCAGTCCCTTCTAATTTCACTAGTCTATGATTTTGCCTTTCCTCCAGTTATGTGTATGAATTTATATTCACAGCAACCCAGTGTGGTAGAGTTGCAGTGGCGCACCGGGGACTAGATATTATCCCTGCAGGTTGTTGCTTTTTTGTTTGTTTGTTTTTTAAAGCAGTTTAAAGGGGGAAAAGCACAAACCAAGGAATGCATTCCTGCCACCATGTTACACTTTAAATCTCTATGGCAATGGAACCAATTACCTCGAGAGTTTGGTGAGTGTTCCAACACTGGAGGCATTCAAGAGAAATTTAGACAACCACCTGGCAAATATCCTTTGATTGAGCAAGGGGTTGGACATGATGGCCTTATAGGTCCCTTCCAATTTCACTAGTCTATGATTCTGCCTTTCCTCCAGTTACGTGTATGAATTTATATTCACAGCAACCCAGTGTGGTAGAGTTGCAGTGGTGCACCGGGGACTAGATATAATCCCTGCAGGTTGTTTGTTTGTTTGTTTGTTTTTTAAAGCAGTTTTAAGGGTGAAAAGCATAAACCAAGGAATGCACTCCTGCCACCATGTTACACTTTAAATCTCTCCCTTTCTTAAGCTTGTCCATGTTACACTTTAAATCTCTCTCTCTCTCCTGTGACCCCAGATGGGGTCATCATGTATTATAAATGTAACCACTGAGAACAAGTTCATCCCTTCTTCGTGAATTCCTTTGCTGAACTGTCCTTGTTGTGTCGCACAGGCAAACAACCCAAAGGCATGTTTGCCATTGAAAACTACCGTGCCCAACTGGCTTCGTATCTGCGCAAGGACTCTCGAAGGGATTGTTGCTTTGAACTGTCCTGTTCTGGCAAGCGTACTTACGAGGTAGGTACTGTATAGGAGAAATCGAAATGAGGTTGAGAAAGATACATCTTTTCATGAAGTTTAAAGTTGTTGATAGCTGTTAATCAGAGCAACTGTGTATTACATTTGGCATTGGAGGCAGTTTGCTCCTGCAAACCAGTTGCTGGTAGGCACAAGTGGAAAGGTGGAGTTGCTGCTGGTGGGCCTCCTATATTCTGCTTGTGGGCCTCCCATAGGCAAATGGATGGCCACTGTGGAATCAAAATTTTGCACTACATAGGTCTTTAGTCTGATCCACTAGGACTGTTGTCTTGGCCTTTTCTTATCTGCTCTTTCCATCCAACATTAACTTTTCCACCTTTCCTTTTCCTTCACTGATCCTGAGAAGCAGAATTGTGCACATTAAATTGTTGTTCCAGAGAGAAAGCACCCTCTTCAGTAGGTGTAAAACCATTCTGTCTTCAAAGCACTGCCCTACGGTGCCACCTAGAGGTGCCTGCTAATAAGGCCAGCCTTGTCTCGGCCATTAATCTGTAGTGGGAACAAGAGTAAACACAGTTTTTGTCTTCTGTGTATTTGGAGCCTACTGTAATTGAGACTGCCTGACCATGCTCATTTTAACACTCTCTTGCTGGAGTAGATTGACTGAATGCTGAAATTATAATATGTTCCGATTTGTCCACAGTTGTCTCTCACTGTTATGTGTACTTACTTGATTTTCAAGTATACAGTAGCCATTGTTTCTAAGGGATTCTGGGAATTCTAATCTAAGAAAAGTAAATTTTTCAAACTTTGTGGGTATGCATTTACTGCTACCCCAAGGGAATATAGCATGCTCAGAGCTTAGAAAAACTAGTGGTTATTCCAGCTGAGAAAGTTGGGAACTGTGTCCCAAACAATAGCTTTTTTTCATACACTGGGCATACTGTTAGAAACAGGTTGTTCAAAAACAAACTCCTTCTTATATTTGAGAAAGCTATTTGTGCATGTTTTGTCAGACTTCAGAATAATCCTGAACATTCAGGATAGAAAGCGGACAGCTGTATTCTTGCATGTTGCTAGTGGTTGAACAAATATACAATAAAAAAAAAATTTAAAGAAAGAAAATGATGGTACAGAAAGCGAGGAGGGGTTGAGACAGTGGTGGAGAAGTGAAGCATCGCAAAATAACAAAAACATTATAAAATACAGTAAAGCTAATTTATTCAGCTGTGTGTATATTCTTACATTTCTCTGTTGCTCAGTGGTTCAATGGCTGAATATGTAGATGGCCTAAATGGAAAATATATATATTGCATTTCACGTTTGTTGACATGGGATCTCTGTCTGTGATACATGGATTTCTTTATGAAGTACTTTTGAACATAGTCCTAGTTGAGGTGGGATTTAAACCAGTTTTTGTTGCAGTTTGTGAATACAGTCATATACAAAGAAAGAAATGAAGGCCACTTGGTAAAAATCTGACAATGACCATATTTTTTTTCAAACAATTTTTTTCCTTCCAGTTCACTGCTGCTAACCCTGCGGAAGCCATGGACTGGGTGGATCAGATCCTGTTCCTCCTGAAAGGTCAGACACTAGAGATCAAAAATAATCTGTTACATGTCAGAGTTGTTTCATGTAAGCTACCCAGTTACATATCGCTGATGAATGCATGAAATGCTATCATTGTGAAAAATGGTGCTTCAGGGTATACAAGGGGATCTTTGTGAAGCCATTCACACATACCAGTCACTACTGCCGGCCTATTCAGTTGAGCTGAAACTGTGTGGACAGCACATGTAATGAAGGTAGGCTGCTAGATCCACACCCTTGGTCATTCCTTTAATCACAAAAAATGATAGTTTGAAGAAAAGGCAGCTGTTACCTTTGCATAGGCTTTCCGCATGAGCCAGAACACGAACAAACTCAAATTCTGGATCACATGGAGAATCTACAATAGCCTCCCTGTTTTCAGACAGTTGCTTTCATATTTGGAAAGCAAAGATGAAGGAGGTGGGCACCTGCTTTCCTCTCCTTACTTGTGAAATCCACTCATTTACAGAATTCCTTATGGGCTTCTGCTGTATTCTGAAGAGATCCACCATGATGTAGTGGTAGATCAGGGCTCAGGGGATCGCAGTTAAATCCCCATCAAGTTCACTGGGTGACCGTGGGCACATCACATTCTCTTGATATGATCTGCTGTTACTGTCAAGGTAAACATGGGAAGGAAGAAGTTTGTCATCTTGAACTCATTGTAGGAAGGGTAAAATATAAATGTAAGCAATAACAGTGGCAATGACAACAGCAACAGCTGTGGGTACATCCAGACAGAAGGCACCCAGCACTACCAGGTATAATACATCATGCATTCATTCCAACTTTCCTTCCTTTTTTGGTAAGAAAAAGTGGTGGGAAACAGTGAACAGCGATGTGTGAATCTCCACCCTCATATAACATCTTGAGAATGAGGCAGGATTCTCACAGCATTAAAGTCTTGATGCCTCAGTTATTCAGACAAGAATTGCATATAAAGGTCCTGAATCCAGGCCTAGGTTATCGTAAACTCCAGGCCAAAGGCAGCCCCCTTCCCTGGATAGAACTATGTTACCAGTTGCTTCCTTTTGAATTCCTGAGAATCACAGCTTTCATGTTGATGTTCTTCAATAGATTTCTTATCCGCATACAGAAAACCAGGCAAACATTCCTAAGAATCTTAGCTTTTGTATCTGTTTTTCAGTAGTGTTCTCTCGTCCTCTATCAGCAAGTCCTGTAAACATGGCGATAAGCTTGTCTGAAAGACAAAAGGAGGCAATCTTTAATCAAAAAAGTCAATTTGGAGATCATTATTTTTAAGAGCAGAGCAACAGTTATTTTCCCTACTTAATAATTAATATTCACATTTGTGTCTTCAGTTCTTAGCACAAACAACAGGGCAAACAAAGTGACAAACCAAGGGTGCATTAGGGATATCCCATTTTATCCTCAAGAGATAGTGCATTCTTTTAGTGTGTGGAGGTTATCATCTGAAACATCCTACCTCCTTACTTCTGCTCCCTAACAGACAGCTAGATACAGTATGATACATGGCCCACGTATTACACCTTTTGATGTAGATATTTAATCTATGTAAGCTGAAAATGAAGTAAAAACAGGGAAGAGCCAAGTGCTACGACACTGATGGGGGCAAGTGGAAGGTGCAAGTAGGGTGATTTTTCCCCTCTCTGCTGAAGAAGTGGGTGAAAAATAAGAATGTAAAAGGGAAGCTGTTCTTGGCATTGCTGATGGCAGTATAACAGCTGCTGTGGAGGAATAGATGAAGCACTCTTCTTCTAAAAGTTCATACTTAAGGATCACTTAAGAGAGGCTAGTCATCCCCAAAGCCCCAGCTCAGACCGAGGCTACCCCTAGCCATCCCACTCTTGCTTGCAGCCGCAGCAGAAGCAGTTTTTCTTGCATATATCTCTGAATGCTTGCCTGACTCTGTGTTTGTTGTGAAAGGGGAATGTTTGTGCTGATGCCCATTTATGCCCCTGGTTCTGCCTATCATTGGCTGCCATGCTTCCTACCCTACCCTGTGGGCACCAGCTGCTCATGTCATACTATAATGGGAAACTAAGGAAGGATAGCTTGGTTACATCAACATTTATGAAAGGAGGATTTTCTAGTTCTTTCAGATTATTTATCTAAAAAAGTGATAGATGTGGCATAGGGTGTGCACACGCATGTATACACACACACATCTGAACAAATTCAGGAGTTGCCCTCTTTTTCCCTGCCCCCCACATTTTTTTTTGTTTTTTTTTTTAAGCTGTTAGTACTATTTTCCCCTCCTCATTTCTCAGCATTTGTTTTGGACACAAAAATAAAGCCCTGATTATGGTGAACCTGGGTTAATTGAAAAATAAAATCACATCTGTTTTGCTGAAGATATTTCCTGGGTTGCAAAGAAAATGTGCTCTCAAAGCGTCCTCTGCTGGTCAGTGTGTGAAACCTGTGTTGGTGCTGATTTCTGAGAAGCTAGGATATGCATAACACTTACATAGAATCTTAAAAATGGGAGGGGCTGAGAAGTCATTCCCTCCCCCATTCCAAGGCAAAATCATCCACACATTATATACAGCCATCCACTCTCATTAACCAAAATAATTCAGACCACAGCAGGCATGAACAAAAAAAGCAGACTGCAACAAACCACCTGCTAAGCAGAAATCTCCAGAAATAGCTCAGAAATATTCTTGTTGGAAGCCTCCTGCCCTAAACCAGCTTGCTGTACAGAGGGAGAGGGAGACTGAGATGAAGTAGGTTTTCCAACTTCTTTCTTTGGTGGCTTATTTCACTTTTTCTTTAAAAGAAATAAGACATTGGGCATATTCTGAGACAGGGCTCTGGGACACACAGTGTCATTACAGGGGGAAACTATTATAATTCACACAATCAGACCATAACCAGCCAGTCCATAACCAGCCAAACCATCACCAGCCACTATTCAAAATTCAGGGTTATGGCTCTCAGGCCATAGCATGTGTGAATTTTCACAGGCTGAAACCCAATCCCTGTCATCCTAGAAATTAATTAGCAGTGGTGATAGTCCTGGCTTTAATTTATAGCTTCATGTAGCTTGTGTAATTATAGTTGCTGACGTAACATTCAGCGATGGATTTGTTCATGCTTAACAATAATATATGTTTATATATTACTGCCCTGTGCACCAGGACTGGGGAACTTTTGGCCTTCCAGACACAGTTGAACTCTAATTCCCATCAGCCCTAAACAGACTGTCCAATGGTGAGATGTGAAGGGAGTGGCAGTCCATTATTGCATTGAGGGCCAAGGGTTCCTCAGCCTGATGTACAGGTTTCTAGTCCAGCAAAACATGACCTTCCATGTTCCTACTGTGGCCTGTGGCCTTCCATAGCAAAGCCTCTGCTATATTGTTTTGAATGATTCCCATAAGCCCCAGGCAGTGTGCCCAGTTGTCAAGGATAGTGGAAGTTGTAGTCCAAAACATCTGGCATGCAACACATAAGGTAGGCTACAGGAAGGCTCTACTGATGGTCATCCTGCTTGTACAAGTATTTGTGGCCTTAATAATCAGATCTGAAACCTGCAGCAGGAGATGGCAAGGATGAGGCTGATATGTCATCTTGCCCTTTTCCTCTATCGTTGTCATTTAGTTGTTTAGTCGTGTCCAACTCTTCATGACCCCATGAACCAGAGCACGCCAGGCCCTCCTATCCTCCACTGCCTCCCGTAGTTGTGTTAATTTCATGTTGGTTGCTTTGCAGACACTGTCCAGCCATCTCATCCTCTGTCGTCCCCTTCTCCTCTTGCCTTCACACTTTCCTAACATCAAGGTCTTTTCCAAGGAGTCTTCTCTTTTCATGAGATGGTCAAAGTACTGGAGCCTCAGCTTCAGGATCTGTCCTTCCAGTGAGCACTCAGGGTTGATTTCCTTTAGATACTCCTGGACCTCTCAGTGGCTTTCAACACCATCAATCATGGTGCCCTTCTGGATAGGCTGGCTGGGTTGGGCGTCGGGGGGCACCGCTTTATGGTGGCTCCGCTCCTTCCTGGCAGACCATGTCCAGAGGGTGGTGCTGGGGGGGAGCTGCTCTGCCCCATGGCGTTTATGTCATGGGGTTCCTCAGGGCTCGATACTGTCCCCCATGCTGTTCAACATCTACATGGAACTGCTGGGAGAGGCCATCAGGAGGTTTGGGCTGACGACACTCAACTGTACCTCTCGTTCTCCACCAATCCAGGTGAGGCGGTTTCTGTACTGAACTCATGTCTGGACCTGATAATGGACTGGATGAGGGTTAATAAATTGAAACTCAATCTAGACAAGATGGAAGTGCTGTTAGTGGGTGCTTCGCTGGACAGGTTGGAGGGCCATTTCCCTGCCCTGAATGGGGTTACACCCCCCTAAGGGATAGGGTCTGCAACCTGAGGGTGCTCCTGGAACCAGGTCTAACTCTGGAAGCCCAGGTAGACTCAGTGGCCATGGGCGCCTTCCTTCAGCTGCCAATGTTATACCAGGTACGGCCCTACCTGGACGAGCAGAGTCTCATGACAGTTACATATGCACTGGTAACATCCCATATAGATTACTGCAATGCACTGTTCGTGGGGCTGCCTTTGAAGATGGTCCAGAGACTGCAACTGGTTCAGAATTGAGGTGCACAGCTAGTTCTGATCTGTGATTGATTTTTCAGGTTTATAATTATAATAAGCTTAGAAATATAGAGCTGGAAGGGACCTACAGATCATCAAGTCCAGCTCCTGTCAAGGAGACAAAATGTGGAATCAAACTCCTAACGGACGCCTGATAGCTCAGTGGTTTAGGTATCTGGCTAAAGAGCCAGATTCCGAAACCACTGAGCTGTCAACAGTACTTTTCTCAGATTTCCAGAATGCTGCCTACAGTTCTGCAACTCTTTTTCCCTATAGCATAGCTATTTGTTATTTTATTAGTATTATTTTATTCAAAGGCACCTGCAAGTTTTGTTTTCTCTGGCTGCCACAGCATCTGCTCTGTCTTTGCAGGATTTAAGCTGGGAGAGAGAGAGAGAAAGAGAAGGCTTTTAATTGAGATCTGAGTAATGCCTTTATTGGATTCTGTCTGCAATCTCTGTCTTGCTAGTCAATCTGCCTACAAGGATAAGGATCATTACATTTGGCCAGATTTGGGGGCCTGTGCCAATTGCTAGTCCCAATACAGTACACATAATGAGTCAATTACTGTACAACTTTCATAACTGCAGACATAGAAAGATAGGACTTACTCAGCAGTTGGTATAGTGGGTCTACTCTACTTGGGATGAGCAGTAGTACTAAGCCATGGACTTTGTGTGTGTTTTTCCCAGTCATATGAACTTTGTAATTTGTCTCAAATTACAAATTCTGGAAAACTTAAAATCTTGTAATGTTTGTGACATTTTAGTAACACAATAAAAGTATTGCTCAACCCTGAATTTGGTTTCTACTCATGGAACTAATGTTTAGTGTTACCATTCTATTTCATCTGTCTTTTAAGTTTCAGCTATTTGACTTGACTTTAAAAAATCTTTAGCCTCCTGAACTGCTAATGCTAGAAATTAGGAGTGGGGCAGAGGTGAGAACATATCAGGATGTGAATCACCAAGAAGAGGGCAATACTGTTCAGATCCAGATCTACTTTAACTCCAGAGATGGGGCCAAATCAGCCTCCTTCAGAGCAACCTCTGCTCTTATTTTGGCACACCAGCAGCTTTCAGAGGCACCCTTAAATGTGTTTTGCCCTCTTGTCATTGGACCAGAAAAACATAAATTAATTGTGCTTCAGTTGTAAATAGTTCAGATGAAGTAGCAAAGTCCTACATCAGCCTGTGATCATGAAAGTTGTACAGAAAATCATAATCTGGTCAGATTATGAAATAATCTACAGCTAGCAGAGAAGAATCTTGGTGCACATTTAGTTAGTCCCAGTTCTTGCTAAAAGAAAAAAAATCATACATTGACCCTTAGAAGTCTCGGCCTGAATGTGGTACATGTTCTTTTTCCTCTTCCCTTGTGAATCATGACTTCTCCTTCTCTTTTCCAATCATTTTCTCCCAGATATGAAGTCCTTGGTTATCCCCTGTGAGGAAGAGGTGGAGGACTACCAAGAGAACGAAGAAGCCTATGATGACATAGACAGTTTTGATTCCCCCAGTGTGACTCTTCATCAGGACACCACTGTGGACACAGAGGATGAAGAGGACTTGAGAGAGAACCATGAATGCATTTATGAGGTTCTTCCAGGTGAGCTGACTTTTGTGTGTATTGTGGTAATCCCTGTTTATCTTGTTTTTATGCAAAAGAGAACTAAAAAGATCACCATATTTTTCTCCTTGCTTATGAGAGAGTGAATATTTTCTCCTGTTATCAGAGAGACTTGCAAAAACTGTTTCTGGCTAGTCACACACAATTTTGATAGCTGCTTCCTTTCTGTGTGGATTTGTAAAAATTGTGAGAATTAGATATGTTGAGTCATTTTGATCAATCAGTCAGTGTATTTGTGCTTGCCATATGTGTTGCTTGCTTTGCTTCACAAAGAGAAAATACACTACTTTTTTTTCAGAAACATTTTCTGCAATTTGTAAAATTTCATTGAGAAAAAGTGTTCATGTTGTTCTCCCACTGAAAATGAGTAATCTCATTGAGGTCAATGACTTTTTAACAGGTTGTCGTAATATAAAGATGTAATTTTGCACAATATGAAACTATCATATGCTGAGTCAAACCTTTGCACTGTCTAGCCATTTATTGTCTGTTCCAACAGTCTTTCAAGTCAAGCAGAAGGCTTTCTCCCATAATTAGTGTTGAAAATCATGCTATAGCCATCTCTTCCTCTTTTTGAATTTCAAAGTAGAAGTGTCTACATTTAAAATCCAATAGAATCCCTTTTTCCCATAAAATTCTTTTGCCTAGCACGGTTATGATCATTATGAATGCCCATTTTATTTTGGAAATGGAAAGCCAACAAACAAACAGAAATAGAACAAGATACTTAACAGGCTGCCTCAGTTAAGAAGGAAAAGAGTTAACTCACCTGGTAGGAAAAAAAATGTACACCTTGCATGTTTTGTAGGAGCTCTCAGTACAAGCTGAGCTTTTCAGTGATGTGCAAAAATGCAGATTTTGTTCAGAGCATTCCACTCAAGCGCCTCTCTGGCAGGAAGAGAGTAGCAAACAAATCTGGTTTTGGTGATCTGCAGCTAGAACTGGCCCTACCATTAGGCAGACTGAGACAACTACCTCAGAGAGCAGATGCCAAGGAACAACAGAAATAGCTTTCCAAGTGGACAGAACTATATATGCCACATGGCCTGTCCTGTACCCTTTGAGCAACCCTGGTGCCCTCAGGGGCAGTGGAAAACTCTCTTATGATGCCAACATTAAAGTTCATTTTCCAGTCTTGTTTCCTTTCTGTTATGTAGAACTGGGATGTTATGTAGAGGAGGATGGTGGCATCTTTTGCCTCAGACACCAATTCATTTTGAGTTGGTCTTGTCCCATGGTATCTAGTTTCCTGAGATGTTTCTTCTTTTCTCTAGACTGATTTTTTTAAATCACCCACGGCCCATGGTCAATGGACATAGGGATCTAAAATGATAGACAAAATGATTTTTAAAATGAAATGGCCTTCACACAGTTTAGAGAAAAGACAAAACATCTCAAGAAACTAGATACCATGGGACAAGACCAGCTCAACATGATCTGTTGTCTGCCCCTGGTCGATCAGCAGAACTAAAACAAAGATGTAGCCAAGGAAGAAATACTTTTTCCTATTTTTGTCTATCATTTCATATCCCTAAGCCCACAAGTTTGGTACCATTTCAGAAGTGGCTGTGGGGAATAGATTCACGACTGGAGACATGAGATAGGAGAAGTAGAAACTTTTTTTAAGTTTATGACATACAAAGTTCTGTGCCACAATGCCAAATATTTTGTTAACATTGAACCCTAATGGACCAAAAAGAAAAAGGGGGAGATGCCTCAGCTTTGAGATTTCAGTGTCCCAGTACAGATAAAAAATCCCTGTACAAATATGCATTGCTCAGAACAGACACCACATGAATAATTTTCTTTCTCAAGTAGTCAGAAATCTAGCAGTTTCGTTTGCAGGATGTTGCTTCCTTTGAATATGAGAGGACCAGAAATTTACATTTTGTTTGTTAAAAATATACAAACAGAGCATGTTAGAAACAATTGACCCTTAAAGCAGACTACAAAGGTGCACATCCTGCACCAGACTGCTAAAGAAAGCAATTGCTTGGCCCTCTGTGAAGTCTGCTTCCAGTCCAGTGAATCACACAGCTCTTTGCTTCTGTCAGGCTTGAAACCTGTTACAATCTCTTTCCTTACCTCTCCTATTACTACCTCTGATTGGTGTCACATTCAGAAGGCATGGGAGAGAGATTTCTGGGCCATTAAGGAAAACTTCCCTAGTCTTTAACATTCTTTTGTCAAGTCCCTGATTACCCATTAGTCTGTCAGGTGAAACCTAGTGATAGCGACCATTCATGCTAATCAAGTCAACAAAATTCAGAATATTTGGAGGTGAATATCCATTCGCCCTCCTGTTATGATGTGGATAATCAGTTTGGGAATATAGCCTAGCTACCTACTCTGCATCACTGTCATGACCAGCGTGCAAAAAGCAGAGAGGTAGATCTGGTCTATCAATATGCGCAATACGTCAGAATACTCGATTCACCCAGGATTCCTTTGATACCATCAGCCTGTGGATTCACAAGGAGGGCAGATTGATAGACCAGATCTACCTCTGTGCTCTTAGCACACTGGTCATGACAGTGATGCTGTGTCGCTAACTAGGCTATTTTTGCACATGTGTCTATCCTCATTTTTGTTTGTACACCAGATCCTATAGAACAGGTTGCATATTTACAACAGCCATTCATGGGCAGAACATTTCTGTTCTGCACTCAGAAGTGCTGAACTAGAGCAAAAGAGGAACTGCAGCTTTTGGGATGCAGTCGTACAGTTTTGAAATCACCACATTTTCTTTGTAGAGATACTCAAGAGTTCAGGATCCTTAGGTTCCTAATTTGTTCACTAGTAGGAAATGAATTTTCCCACTGCAGAGCAAATTGCCACAGAGAACTCAAATAAGAAAGCCAAGTTGCACAGTGCAAAGAAAAGAAAAGGGGAGAAAACTGATTGGGAGGGAAGTTCTTCTTACCCCAAGAAATTAAGCAGTTACATTTTGAATGTGAGCTCAGGGTATCTATTGACGTCTCTCACAACTTTCTAATGGGGCACAACTTCACACAGCATCCCATTCCTCCTTCAAGAACAGGTGAACTTTCCTGTGCCACTCCTCCTTGCTGTAGATAATTTCCCCAGCCTTCCAGAGGCAATTTTGAGGCACATGGAGTGCTCTAGTAAGGTGGAAGAATGGAATGCCACCATGGAATTCCACCATTCTGCCAGGAGATGTCCGCCATTGGACCTTGCCTCGTTGACTCTTAGATGTTGTTGGACTAGAGGTTTGGTCATCATGGACCACTGGCATTACTGGGTGGAGCTGATGAGAGATGGAGACAATACACTAAAGAATACTGCACTTCAGTTACTTTCTGTATATGGCCTGGGGAAAGGGTTCCACCCTGTCCATTTCCTAAGAAGCAAAATGCCCTGTACCAGCTATTCTTTGGTGCCTCTTTTTCTGTGCTTCTAGAAGATATTTTGTGATGGCCTGTACAAAGATGTGCTCAGGAGAGGGGGACAGTTGAGACACAACTGTGTCTCCATTATCAGTCCATTCTGTAGGTTGGGCTGGAGTTGCAGACGCATCTTCTGGAAACGAGGGTCCTGCCAACCCATGCTCCCAAGATAGCTTCTTCAGCTTCAGGGACTGGATAATGATGGGTTGTGCCACCTTTGTTAAGAAGAAGGTCAGATTCAACTTTGCAGATTTACATCAGTATTTATAACATATTAACCTCTTACCCTTCTGCTGAAGAGCCAGTTTATCAGAGTGTGGAATAGTTATTCACCTGCTGGCTGGGATGTTCTGGAAATTAAAGTTAGAGAGAGGGGGGGAGGGGAAGGGGAGGGGGAGAGAGGGAGAGGGAGATAGAGAATATAAGTGGACCTTGAGTTTCCTCTCCTTGTTCTCACATGCAGCTGCATCCTAATTTACCCATTCCATCTCATAGAGTCATAATTGATTACCAGATAGAAGCAGGAGACAATAGCAGAATATGCATGAGAATAAGATATTCGGAACTTGTGTAGATACTTGTGTATTTACTCCCGTATCCATTCCAAGGGTGAGCTTTGAGACCCAGCTTAGATTTAGGTCTGGGTTTCTCTTGATACCTGAAGCAGATGAGATCCCTTCCATCCCCTGGCAGATAATATTCCTCCCCCCTCCAACACCACTACCATTTCTGGCCCTCCACTTACAACCCTTTCCATCCCAACTTCGAACTGAATGTTTGTGAAGATGTCTGGGGCCAGGACTCATTGCAACATGCAGCTATATAGTCAAACCATTTTAACATCCCTTCCCCCCCAAGTCTCCCACTGATGTACTGGAACAGGCCTGCATACAAGGCAGATCCTCCAAGGAGCTGTGTTTTAATGTTGCAATTTGATTCAATTTTCCACTCTATAAAATTACCCATCATTGTTCGTTGCCTCCTAACAGACACCTTCACTCTTAATTTAACAATCCTATCGAATTCTGCCTCGGAAATTGGAAAAATTTATCACCTGTGAAATTTTATTTTTCCTTGGTTGTATCTGTTTTTGTAAAACTTCATTAGCGACGATGACTTGCTGAGGAAATTATCTTTCTCTCTCTCTCTGTCTCTCTTTCCTCTGCCACAGTCTCACTCCCTTCCATTCTTAAAAAAAAGGAATGCTCAACCACAACTGAGATTTTTATTTGATCATAATAATAAAAAACAAACACATACTGCACAAGACTGAAATGAAGCAAATCTGTGCTGAATTTTTAGTTTTGTCACTCTGGATCAGACCCAAGGTTCATTTGCCACAGCAGGTATAAGAAAAGTGTGGTACTCCAGTGTTGTTGAACTACAATTCCCAACAGCCCTCATCAGTGGCGAGGGATGATGGGAGTTTCAGTCCGAAAGTTGGAAGGCCACATGTTCCTATCTCTGCTACACATAATCCTGCCTCTAGACAATGACCAGTTGCTCAAAGGAGGTTCACAAGAATGGCATAGTGGTAATTTCCAGCCCCTGTTTGTTGCTTGCATTTGTAGT